CCCCTGCTGCTGCCGCCACCGGCCCTCGGGCCCGCGCCTCCGCCAGGAGGAGGGAGAGGAATAGCGCCGTGGCGACCTGAGGGAACTCAAGGGAGGCGAGCCCTGGAGAGGGGTGGGCTCCAGGCGGCGCCGGGAGGGCGCGGCAGGCCCCGAGGGGCGCCGTGAGGGAGCTGGGTGCGGGTCTCGGCTCCGCCTCCGGCCGTGGGGCCGACGGAGTCCAGGGCAGGTGAGGAGGGGCCGAGACTGTCCGGGAGCAGGAGGGAAACAACGCACACCGGTGCAGCAGAAATCACTTATTAGAGTTAGGCAGGAGGTCTGTGAATGCACGGGGAGGGCAGGAAGCACTTTCTGAAGTTTATAATTTCGTCAAAGTTCCAGTCCCGTGTCGTTACCGAACCTCTCATCCCTGATAAGGGCATTTCAGCTCGGTTCCGGCGTTCAGTGTAACAAGGTCCTTTGGAAATGCAGAAGAAAAATGTCCTTTGGGATAACTGTTTTAGCGGGTTTTTATATTTAGTTTATGTTTTCATTTGCTGCTCCGTGTCACAGTAAGACAGCTTGACTTCCGATCATTAGCAAGAGTGTGTTCAATAAGATAAGGGCTAAAAGGTACTGACCTCTGCCTCCCCTGGAAAAATGAATATAAATCATCTCGTTACATTTATGCCAAAAACAATAAAATTGCAAGGAATGCATGGTCAAGAGAAGTGTCTCTCCTCCCTGCAAAGTATCTCTTAACACGGATATATCGCCAAAAATTGTTTGAAGGAGTTGCCTAAAATAACTAACAATCATACTAGTGGACGATTACTCAAATTTTGCAATGTTTCCGTAAATATTATTAAGAAATGCATTCAGAAACGCTTATATCTGAGAAATGGTATCCAAGGGTCTGTTAACTATTTCCTGTGTTAGAGAATCGGCTTTCTCCTTGTCCTGCTGCCCTGAACACCCTAATAACATTAGCAAAAGAGCAGGTATAAAGTACCTAGAGCATGGCTTGCATCTTGAAGGTTAAGATCTAGATCAGTTAAAACATATTAATTACTTCTGAATGGTCTCAAAGAGCATTTGCCGTGTATATTTATGTCAATAAAGCCTTGATGAGGGCATGGATGAAAATTCACATCACACTCCAATTCACCAGGGTACCCAAGTGCGTGTATCTGAAGTTACTGCGTTCTGAAAAAAGAGTCCCGATCTCCAAGCGCCCGCACTCCCTCAGGCACCCCCGGGGCTGGGTGAGTGAACCGCATCCCAGGGACTGGCGATGCATCCGTGGCGGGGCGCTCCCCTCGGCCGTGAAGGGTCCACGCGAGGTCGGGTCCCGCTTCTCGCCGGTACAAAGATGACGGAGGCTTGGCGTGTGGAAATCTTCCTGTAACTAATACCAGGCCCAATACTTTTTTGGTTTTGTTTTTGGTTTTGTTTTGTTTTATTTAGAAATCGGGCGAGCGACCTGCATCGTTAATTCACCAACAAAAGCGGTGTTTAACTGATAGCTTAGGTTCGAAGAGATTTTTCTCTCCGCATAAGAAATGGATACCTTATTCTTTAGGGGAGATTAATAAACGCGTCCAAATTAATAAACTAATAAATATATCAGAGAAGGTCCGAATGTGCTGAAGAAGAAACTGGGTCTGATCTGTCCTATAGGGAAATGGTCCTGTAGGGTTTTTCTTTTTTTTTTTTCCCTGCTTTGATTTGTACAGTTTTCCCCCCTCCCCCTCTGCACACACATACACACGCTCACACACACATGCTGCAATATACGCTGCATATTGTGTCTGCCTACCCAAGTTTTCTACTACAGTTGGAAACCTGTCTATGAAACGCTTTGTTTTCGTTCAGCCTTTCTTCAAATGCACCATTTTATCATACGCCTTTTAAAATCAAATTGCGCTGCAGTACCTGTTTATTCAATTTTCCAGTATTATCTGTTTTCCAGGAGATACTCGCCCGAGAATAACTGCATCTGAACTGAGCACAGCTATCCATCTGCTTCAGGCAGCCGGAGTGCCTCTCTCCCGCCTGGAGGGGCCGGAGCCGCCGTGCGCTCCCGGGGTCCGGCCCCTCGGGCCGCAGGTGTCCGCGCCGCGCCGCCGGTGCGCTCGCTGCCCTCAGCTCCGCTCCCACGGCTTGTACGCCGGGTGCGGGCATCCTGCAGGGGTGCCTTCATTTGTTCAACAGCATCATGCACTCTTCTTTCAGGATAGACGGGCTTCACCGGGCTCGGTGACAGCGGGCTCTCGGCTGATATAAAAACCACGAATTTAGCTACTGGCTTTGCCTGTACACCTGGAACGGGGCAGTGCCAAGTCTGATCTCCGCTTGCAGAAGTCACTTGTTTTTGATGAAGGAAAACACGGTTAATATCTCTGAAACGGCCAAATTTTTCCATCATTCTGGAACCGCCTCTTGAAATCTGCTGGGAAATGTCCCCAGCGTACTGACCACCGCCCCGGTGGTTCTGTGGAGAGGTGACTTTGTCCACGATTGCTGTAACTTCCAGAGTTGAATAGCTGCCCTTCGGCCTCTAGTCCTTTCACATCTTGTACTTTATCTACCGTAGCATTTATACATTCAGTATCTACACTGGGGCTTGTCGAGCCCGAGCCCTCGGGCGCTGGCCACGGGGAGAACCGGTGCGGACGCTGTCACCCACCCGGGCTGCGGGGAAGAAACCGAGTCCCGGTACACGGGGAAAGAGAATCCTCGGTGAGCAACGGGCTTTGATGGGGCTGTGTGGGGTCGGTAAGGTGGATGCTCGTGTTCCCCGGTATAAATTAGCAGAAGCGTATCCTACTGATTTATTTATTTTTCCCAGACTAATGGTGTTATAGAAGACATTCTCTCTGGCTCTTGTTGACAAATAAGTCGTGAGCTACCTGACAGTGTTAGTCCAGTTGTTGCCCATATGTCTAAATACCCTCCTAGAGACGTCAGTGCCGTTTAGGAAGAGAATTACCTCAAATGAAAACCAGAAGGAAGATTTTTTTTTTATCCTTTTCTTGTCCCCTAAACCCACGTTACACCTGAGGGCAGTAACATACAGGGAAGATTTTTGTAAATTCAGTATCACTTTCCCCCACAGCAACGATCTCTTTAAATGACAGGGTGAGGAGGGGTGCACTCCTTTCCTCTTTTTTCTTTTTTTTTTTTCCTTACCTTCAGTAAATGCCTTGCGTTCGTGTTTATTTAACAATGAGTCGCTTGGTAAACAAGACAATCAAAAGAACATTTGAGACTACGTGGATACATTTCTCTGGTGCTTGTAGACGCCTGGACACCCAGAGGAGTTGTTGAATGCCTCTCTTTTCGTCTTTCCTTTATTTACCCAAATTAACTCAGAGAAAGCTTTTAACCGAGGGGAGATTTAAGGTGATAAGCATCGAACAGACGGTCTGCACTGCAAGCCTGCCTTTCGAACTGCAGCCGGCTGCGGAGCAAAAGGGATGAGGTGCTTCAAAGGCTAAATTGGTTTTTTGTTGGTTTTTTTTTTTTTTTTTCCTTTTGGTTGACATTTTTCTTCTTTAGAACACGGAGACCGTTTCTTCTTCCTCGAAATACTCCGACTGTTGTCTGCCAGTGCAATCTCATTTTAAACAGTTATTTTAGATAAAGTCTCGCACCGACTGGTTTGGCAATTATGTCAGGCTTTTGAGAGTCCGCTATGGTTTTAGGAAAGACTCTACAACCCTTCTCCCACCACTCCAGGCGCTCTCTCTCTGCTCTATCTACTCTTTTCAGAAGCCAGCAGCTTTAGGAGCAGCATCGTTTTTTTAGGGTTATTTTCCCCAAGGGACACACGAGATTTGGAATAGTCCCGCTCCCCGGGAAAAAAAAAAAAAAAGAGAAACCCCACATGCACTTTGCAAGCAGTTTTAAGGCAGCTCTGTCTCCTAATGTAGGAGGATTTGAGTTTGGGTTTTTTCCCTCTCTTTTTTATTTTTTTTTTTCCCTCTTCCCTGTTGGTGGGATTGTTTATTGTTTTGTTTTATTTTCCAGCGTGTATCAAGAAAATTAATTAAAATCTTTCTCCATCCCTCCGCCGAGGGAGCCTATTCACGCTGTCCCGCGGCGCGGAGGAAAGGTTCCAGAGGAAAACCGTACATGGTTCAAGTTGGGGGTGTCAGGGAGGGGGGCAGCAGGGGACGTGACCGCAGCTTATCTCCCGCAAGCGCGACCACTTGCTCCGTGGGCTTTGGGGTGGGGAAATGTACGTGGGTGTGTAAAACCGCGGCGATCCTCACCACCCGCAGTCCTGCGGGACCTCGGCCGCTCACCCCCGCTGCCCAGCGGAGAGGCCATGGCCAACACGTACCCACCTCAAGGCAAATAAACCCCCAGCAGGTACGCGGGGGGAAGATGCGTCTGTGTGTGCCCGTGGGTGTCTGTGTGTTCCCACTCCCCCCGGCCGCGCAGCCAGGTCAGAGGGCGGACACAGGGAGAGAGGGGAGGCGGAGAGGGCTGGGGATGCATCCCCGTGACGCCACCGCCCCCTCCGCCAGTGGGAGGCCGGGCGAGGAGCGGCGGCGGCCAACGGGACGCGAGGCGGGTCCGTGAGTGGCATTGAGGGAGGGCTCGGCCAGGGGGGAGGGAGGGGGGCCGAGCGGGGAGTTGGAGAGAAATGAAGTTGTGCTAAAAGGCTTTTAGCCATCAAGAAGTTATTAGGCATTTCTCAGCCGCAAATTAGGGATTCTTCCTTAAT